TTAAGAAATTATCAATTTTCCAAAGAAAAAAATTGGGGGTCACAATTTTTTTGCTAATTCTTTGTATATAGTCTGAAAACAGATTTACTAAGTATTGCACAACAGCACAGTGTATTGCACAACAGCAAAAAATCTTCAATTGAATATAAATTCAAATCATACAACCAATTTCAAGTTCTTTGACTACATTTATTCTGTGGCAGAAACCTATAATGTGTCAAATATTTAATTACAATCCAAATTCAGACCTGTATCAAGCTTGAATATTGTGTCCATTTTTGCCCCAACTGTTCACGGTTGGACCTCTGCGGTCGTATCCAGCTGCGCTCGGCGAAGCAGTTTATTTATAAAGAGGAGACCGATGGTTTTCCTGTTTGAATTGTTTTCCACTAGTCATTTTGGGGCCTTTATAGCTTGCTGTTCGGTGTGAGCCAAGGCTCCGTGTTGAAGGCCGTACTTTGACCTATAATGGTTTACTTTTTACAAATTGTGACTTGGATGGAGAGTTGTCTCATTGGCACTCATACCACATCTTCTTATATCTATTGATAGTTTATATTGTCTAACCTGTGATAAAAGTCACAGAATGCTTGGCATAGGGATTAACATCTGGTGGCAAAACTATTTATTAAAGTAGAAGACCTGGATGCTTCATATCTTGTATGCAGATACCTTATGTTACGAAGTTTCCATCTGTCATATGTCTATTGTCCTTGACCTCATTTTCATGGTTCAGTGTCAGCGGCAATCATAGACGAGACACAGCGTTCTATCTTCCATGAAACCCTTTACCAAATTTTTATTATGTTAAGCTGTTACATCATTGTCCCATGTTAATGGGAGAGTTGTGCACTCACTTCACCTGGCAAACATGTTTAACCCTGCCCCATTCTTTTAGTGCCTGTCAACATACCACCTCTCCTGATTTGTTTATTAACATTATCAATGATCCATGAAAAGGAGGTCAAGGTCAGATGAACCCTTCCAGGCAGACATGTACACCATACAACCAATCTATACACCAAACATAATTGACCTATCGATAATAGTATCTGAGAAATGAATAAATCATGAAAACTTAACATTTACCAATAAACCACGAAAATGAGATCAAGCCTGTCAGACAGGTATGTACACCTTGCAATCATGTTGTGTAATACAATACTATTTACATGTTGCAATCTGTATCTGAGAAACGGATATAACAATGAAAACATTGACCAATGAATTAACCATGCAAATAAGGTTATGGTCATGTTCACCTTACATTCTGTGCACCAAATTTAGCTGACATATTGCTTATGGTGTCTGTGTAACAGAAATAACCGTTAAACTTAAACATTGACCAAACAACCAAGAAAATGAGGTCAAGGTAAAATTAATCCTGCCAGACAGCCATGTATACACTTTGCAATCATTTCATTCACCAGATATAGGTTGCCTTTTGCTTATAGTGTGGAAAAAGACCTAACCACGAACATTTAGCATTGAGCAATGAACCATGAATATGAGGTTAAGATCAAGTGAAACCTGCCAGAGTGACATGTACATATTGGAAACATTCCATACACCAAATATAGTTATTCTATTCCTTATAGAAACCGATAAAGACATTACAGCCAACTTTAAACTTGATCACTGATCCATGAAATGAGGTCAAGTTGGATGATCCCTGCCCAACAAACATTTTTTCTTATAAAATTCATCAAGAAGGTAAATAGTATTCATTGTATAGATGCACGTACTTCACTAGTGACTAATGTCAGTCTGACACATGACACTGATTATTGAAACCTTATCTAACAGATGACTTAAAGGTCAGGGTAAGGTTGCTAGACAGTGAAACAAGCTTATAGTAAACATACCTTCTATACAACTCAAGGACAAAGGAAGGATGCTAAGAAGTATGTCGCTTGTTTGAACTTGACCTCAGAATTTGTTATATACTATTTATCTAATATTAGTTGCCTAGGTTGGACAATTTTCTGTGTCAACTATCCCAATGTAAATCTTAAAATTTAATTTTCAGACCATCAGGAAGAGGGGATTTTGTTAGCGTTTATGCTGAAACTTGTTGAATGTTTAAAAACGAATGTGAATATTGATATCGAATGTTGAATGTGGAAGAACGAATGTTGAATATTAAAATCGAATGTTAGATCTTTGGATATGATAATACTCGTTTAATATGTAAAATTACTGGTTGGATTCTATTCCTCTGTTGTGACATTTTAACAGAATGAATATTCGCATGACAGGTAAAACATGCATAAGTAGAGAAGCTTAAACTGTCGTACATGTAGCACCGTGTCTCGCACCGTTGATCTTGATGCATGCGATGCCCTCTGGCTTTTTATATCTTGATTGTTTATTACAAAGGATTTAAGCGATTTTAACATAGGTATAATTATTACTGTTGCTTTACTCAATACACCACAAACCAGTAAAAATCTGAAATAGGTAATATTTGTATTCGACTATGCTAATTTTTTAATTGGTCTGAATTTTACTCGATATTACTCAACTCTAGTCTGATTCATACTCAATAGTCTGAACTTGTACTCGACCAGTTCTTAACCATTTTAAAGAGTCATACTCGACCCAAGTCTGAACCATACTCGACCTAAATCTGAACCATAATCGACCAAGTCTGAACCATACTCGACCAAGTCTGAACCATACTATACCAAGTCTGGAATATACTCGACCAAGTCTATTTTTTACAAAATTTGTTTCCTTTGGCTAGAAATTTGACCAAAAGGTACGAATTAGGAAAGTGATATGTCAGATAATAAAAATCACTCATGTAATAAACAATGTTGGTTTAATAAACCTTGCAAGAAGTTTACTTATCATGCTAAAGCTTGGCTAAAGCTTGACTAAGGGAACAATAATTTCAAAAGAATCTAAATACAATAGAAATATTTAAAAGGTAGGTAACCCTATCTAAAAATATTTAAATTAATAAAAAAATGTTTTAAAAATTACATAGTTATTTGAATTACGGTGGTTTCAACTTGAGTTGGTCAAGATCTGCTTGTTTCAGAATTTCTAAAACACACAATGAATATTCCTTTTAAATATATTGGTCCACTGAGTCATGCTTTTAAATTTTTCCAGTTGCAACATTTGTGGTGTAAATATGGCCATATAAGATGAGAAGATGTGCTATGATTTCCAATGATCCAGCTATCAAACAGATTTCAAATGAAATTGAATTAAGCATATATATATATATCGTTTAACAAAACCCAACCATATAGTCAGCTATAAAAGATCCTTACATGAATATTTACTATGTCTTATGATGAATCTTAAAAAGTTGCCTATGTTTTATATATTTGAATTGGTACGTTTTACTATAAAACACGTATGCATGAATTTTCTTTGAAAAGAAAATCCTTTATCTTATCAAAATCTTCAGAAATGTTCTGCTATTGAATTATTGTCTTCTTGTACTCTTATTCGCCAATAGCTTTTCCGTATGCAGTGACCTCAACCACGAGACCTCTCGTTAGCACTTCATCAACCACACAGCGCAAGTGCGAGGGAAAAACCATGATGAAAGCAATAACCAACATTGAAGTTAGATAATGTTAATTGATTCTGAAAGAAAAAAAAATAATATACCAAATCATTTAACGACTGATAGGACAAAGTTTAATTAATAATAGAAACGCATGGAAAATAAAAAAGAAAATAATCTTAACTCTATTGCATCACTTATTTTTAACGCTTAATGATTCTGTGCTTATTGTTTAACAGACATGGTAAATAAATGTTTACAATTGACAATTGAGAGAGTCGAAACCTTTAAATAAGGGATCACACCAAGTATTAATTTAATTATTGATTAAAGCATTTTAAATATGTTTTCTACAAATATAAAACATTGTGGGTGAAGTGCAAAAAGAGGTAGGACCTTGATCCCCTTACACTACAGGTTTTCAGGTCAGTACAACATATTCTAAATCATGACTTTTCTAGGAACATTCAAGTATTTTTAAACACCCCTCTCCTTTTCCCCTTTAAAACGTATCCTTGTATTTATCTATATAAATTTAAATGGGAATGTGCAAGGATTAACACCCTCTCCTAGAATATACTATAATCTTCATTTATAAAAAGTTTTTTCTAGGGATGATCGGAATTTATTATTGTTGTGTGTATTTTTGCTTTCAGTGTTGTAAAAAAACGGACCTAAATTTTAACTTTTGTTTTTGTTGGTTTACGTTTCTATGTGAATCTGACAATTTCATGGTACATTCTTTTTCACTTCACGATTCCAAAAGAATCTTCCTCGTTTATATAACCGAGAGGTGATACTCGTCCTGTTTTTCTTTTGTCGGTGTGGGAACATTAAACCGGTTTCTCTGAGTAAAGAAGATCGGTTAGTTAAATGATTGTCACTGGACGTCACAATAACACCTCGGCAATAAAACACGAATTAACAGGGAAAGTTTTCACTGAATGATTTTTTTTGTCGATTATATGTTATGGATTCGTTATATATATAATAGTTTAGTTCCTGTCACGTAATCTTGTCATTTTCGCGGTATTTTTAACATTGACATATAAGCGGGAGGTTTGGCTAGCCATAAACCAGGTTAAACCCAACCATGTTTTCTTGAGATGTCCTGTACCAAGTCAGGAATATGGCAGTTGTTATCAAATAGTCCGTTTCTATGTATGTTTGCGTTTGTTTTTGAGCAGTTCAGTGTTTCTGTTGTTCTGTTGTTTTCCTCTTATAGTTGATGTTTTCCTCGGTTTAGGTTTGTGACCCGGATTTGTTTTCGCTTAATCTATTATGACTATTGAACAGCGGTATACTACTGTTGACTTTAATTAATATATAATACATTATTGGTTCAATGATTTCTTTAACATTATAATTTTAAAAAACTCGTTTCTTATTACTTTAAAGACGTGTATTCTATGTAACCCATGTCAATATACAAATAAGGAAGTCACATAATTATCTGTCTGTGGCACTAAGTGATTTCTTGCATTTTCAGTTTGATAAATCTCGTTCTCATGGATACAACGAGGAACATATACAGTGAACGATTATACGGCGTTGTTTGCAATATTAAAACCAATATCGAAACATTGGTTTGACAGGTAAAATAGGTTTAGTTATGATTCATGATTTGTTTTCCACTTTGAACTTTTACAGGGTCAACAACACAAAAGTAAAAAAAAAATGTTTTTATAGATGTTATAAAGAATATTTTTGCGGAAACAGATATAAAAGAAGTGAACGTAATTTGATATATTTCATACTTTTTTGAGGTTTTGAAACTGGAATTCCCATGCAATTCAATAATTGCAAAATTTAAAACTTGTGAATGTATTTTGATAATAAAAAATTACATATTTTATCTGACACCAACACAGATGTATTATTTAAATTGTAATAAATGAATAAGATATTTCTGAAATGGACATTACAATAATACTGATCAATACTCCAAGTGCTTAAAAAAACAATCACCAAAGATACTAGACTTATTATTTTGTACGCCAGACGCGCCTTTCGTCTAAATTAGACTTGTCAATGGCGCTCAAATGAAAACCGTTTGAAAGTTTTATATTGAACTTTGAAATAGCGATTGGTTATTTTGAAGAAAAAAAATCTAATGTTGAATGTTGAAAAACGAATAATGAATGTTGAAATCGGATGTTGAATGTTGAAAATTGAAAGTTGAATGCTACAAAGAGCAATTAATAATATGAAATACTGTTTATTCTTGTTAAAATGTTATTGCAGGTTTTGGCAACAATATTACAAATATTGATATTTTTGAAAAGATAAATAAATTTTTCTTCATCAGACACATTCAAAAACATACCATAATACAATATATCAATAAACATAGCATGTCTTAGATCCTCATATAATGGCGGCAATGGACATTTGAGAGATAAAAAAGGACATTTGAGCGCAGAAATTTTAGGACATTTGAGCGAAAATAAGAAATAAGCAAGTTATTGATGGGAAAAGAAAATGTCACCACTTCTCAATCCCATTCAGATACTTTTCTTACAAATAAGGCCTCTAATCAATCTTCACACCAACGCAAGAGAACAGCTGGTGGTGCTAAAAAATCTTTCAACAGGTAAAAAATCCAAAGTGATGAAGGGAAAAGTGTAGTTAATGATGTTCCAGTACTGTCTCAAAAACTAGTCGTCCTACATTCAAGTTGGAGGCAGATTAACTCATTTTCTAGATCAGTGGAATCTGATCACTTCAGACAAGTAGGTTCTTTCAATACAGCTTCTATTTTTAAAATTTTATCAGATTGATTTTGGAGATCAGAGAATACTTTTTATTTTCACTACCTCCGTTCTATGCCTCTACATTCAGACAACCTCTATTCTCTGGGGCTTCATATGTCAACGAAAAAGTAAATTTTCCCTCCGAATTTAAAGTGGGATTCAGCGCTACGCTAAATTTTGTTATCTAACTTGAAAATGGAAACGTATTCTTTGGAATAAACACATAATTTTTAGTATTAAAATTTGGGTTTGTAAAATAAATACTTCAAAAATCAGAGGTCTATTCTACCTCCACTTTATCTCTCTTTAATGCTATTTTTTCGTAAAAGCGATAAGGGTAAAGGTCGCGCATGCGCCACATAGGGTTGGGGTTGTCTATAGGGATATTGGCTTATAAATAAATTTGTTGTGTTTCTTTTTTTTTCCTGTTCTTGGGAGGTGCAAGTGACTGTAATCTAAATTTATAATGGTACGTGTTTATTTTACAAAACCAAAATTTAATACTAAAAAATCAGTGATTGACATGGACAACACATATCTACAGAACAATAGATGATTTAAACTGTGTAACAGAGTCGACATTAGGGACTTATCATTTTTTATCTGAGAGGGGGGGGGGGGGGGGGGGGGCTGGTCAAAATGCAGGGGGTCAAGTTTTTTCTGTATGTGGACAAGGGGGGGTTCAAATTTTTTTATAAATTCAAAGTGGGGGGATCAATATTTTTTGCACTTGGAAATAAGTAGATCACATACTTCAAGAGACAAAATGTCAAGAAGAACATTACAACAGTCAATTCGAAATATATTAACACCATTCATATACAATTAAGTAAGACATCACAAGACTTTGGTGATGTAGGAAGCTGCCATTTTGTGTCATTTTGTCCTATATAAAATACATAGGTGCTTCATAATCCGAATAATTCAGTTGTTATATTTAACTGACGTCGATCACTAAATTAACAAGCATTGTTGCCAATGTATCTTTTTGTTTTCATTACAAGAGCCCTTTGGGTCCATTTATACCTCTCACTCCCTCAAAATTTGTACTTTTTAGGCTAATAAATCAAAAATTTGAGGTTACTATCACACATTTATGAATGAAATGTGACAATAAATGAGTAATTGAATTGTTCAAGCTGAAAGCATGAGCTATCCATATAAAAGTTTAGCGACTCAATGGAGGTTTCAATAAGGCCATACGTAAAACTTAAGTTTAAGCAGCGTTCAAGAGAGGGACATATAAATAATGTGTTGTTACTGTTTCAAAAAGTTTACTTTTTAATCTATATTTTTTACAGTGTTACTCAGAATCAAGTTTTCTTTCATAGCCTAATATAGGAAATAAGAAAATAAGTCAGAAAAAGCAACTCAAAGCACTTGCTTGCTCTACCTACTAATATTATTCATAGAAGAGGCCTCATGGAAGAGCCCTATTTCAATGCATTTTCCCCTCAAATAAGTTTTGGGACTCAATCCACTGAGAATATTTCATTTTCAATATTTCCTTGAAATAACATGATAAGTGATTTGCATGTTAAAATTTTGGCATGTTTAATAGAAGGGGGATCACATTTTTTAAATGTTTTTACAGGGGGGATCACATTTTTTAAATATTTTTACAGGGGGGGTCAAATAAAAATAGTGAAATATTATGGGGGGATCAAGAAATTTTATATGTATGATTTCAAAATGACCAGCCCCCCCTCCTAGGTAAAAAATGATAAGTCCCTTACCAATTCATGTGTTTGTTTATTCAACCATCTACTGCAGATAATTTTCTGAAACACACAAAGCATTTAACTTTTATAAATCTAGTTCGGGAAATATCTTAAAACTTCTCAAGTTGCACATGTTTGTCTGTACTAAGAGTAACTGTTGTTGTGTAAAAACTGATTAAAGATACCAGGTTATATTTTAAACGCGAATATATTCAATACCTTATGATGAAACTTTAAACGTGGATTTTCAATGTGACCCATATTTCAATGTGACCCATATTTCAATGTGACCCATATTAAGACATGGAAGTAAAATAACTTAATTCATGTCTACTAACGTCAATTCACCTAGTGCATTCATGTTTTACATTTTTCAGCTTAGTCAAAGCACCTTCTCGTGGATAAAGCGAGGCATATATACAGCTAAAGTTAGTGCAGCGTTCTTTGTAATATGAAGATCACCATCGAAATCTTCATTTGACAGGTAAAATACGTATAAAATGTTTTCATGATTTGTTTAACACTTTTAAAGGGTCAACAGAACAAAAGTTAAAAGAAACAACAACACATTCGATATATATCCTGCCTCGATTATATGTGTATACAGTTTTAAATGTATTTTGATAAAACTGTATTACGTATTTCTTCCAATCTTAAGAAAATGTAACATAAATTTCATTTATTGAAAATTTATTTATTCAGTTACTTTAGTTTTCTATGTTGCGTTTTGTGTACTATTGTTTGTCTGTTGGTCTTTTTCTTTTTTAGCCATGGCGTTGTCAGTTTATTTTCGACTTATGCGTTTGAATGTCCCTCTGATATCTTTCGCCTCTCTTTTGAAATTTGTTTATCAATAATACTTCTCGTGCTATAAAGTGTGACGAATCATGGTTATGGAAATCAAAATATGTTCCTTTAAGACTGTAATTTTAAGCTTTGTGATTTTATTTGAAACGACCTAAATTGCTTACATTCATTTCATTTGAACTCTGGTGGATAGTTGTCTCGTTTACAATTATACCACATCTTTTTATTTTTATAACCGAGACATCGCCTGTCCCTGGCTGAATAAAAGTACCTACGCCTTATATATAGCCTGGATGTTTAGTATTCGTATTGTTATTTGATAAAGTCATGCTGTTTATAAAGTGCACAGATTTCTCTGCTTTCAAAATCTTTCTGTTTGAACCCGTCGACCGGGAACTTGTTAGTTATAGGTAATATTAATTATGTGGAAAACAAAAGGGCTTGGAATGGTGTAATTTTTAATCAACACCATTGTCCAAAATTAGTTAAAATATCTAGTTGAATTCTTTGATTCGTGATTCACAGTCTAATAAATCAGAATGGAAATATATCTTAATTTGCATTTTTAGTCGATTTATGACATGTGAACATCAATAAAATACCGTTGCCTTAATAAATATAGCAAAAATGGACTAAACCTCATAATAAACTCATCATAGATACCAGGATTAAAAAAATTTTCGCCAGACGCGCGTTTCGTCTTTAATAGAATCATCAGTAAATATTTTTACTCAAATCTTAATTATGAAAAGAAAACTAGTAAACTTATTTTATGATAGATTGATAATTCTTTCATTTAACTTTTACGCAGTCTTCTCTATACCTTATGTTCTTAACATAACACCACTTTTAACAAAAAGACAACTAAAACACAAAGTATGTTTGTCGACTAGCTTGCTGCTTGTATATTTTCTGAGCTGCCGAGTTTATTCAATACATATATACAAACATGTCACATCAATACACATTAAACTGTGGCAATCATAATGACTCCTAATTTCTTCTACATTTATATCTAATTATTTCGTGGCCGACCAGGAAAAACTTTTTTTAGAAACCTGTGTCCTTTTGTCAATGCCAGGCGAAACCCAAGTGTTGGACCTCACTTGGTATAAGAAAGTTCAAAAAACATTAAAGAAAACATTTAAATGCAAAAAATCTACTATCAGTCAAAAGACTGCGGCTATATGAAAATAATTTGAAGACAGAAATGAGTCTGAATAAAAACAAATCCGATTTCGTTTGTATAGCCATACAACCTAACCTTACGATCAAAAATTGTAACTTTAATGCCAATATGAACACACTTATATTAAAAAAAAGATCAACATACATTAACGTACATGTTAAAAATTTGATGTTCAAATTAAAGCTCAAGTAAAGCAGGGCTAGATTCGGGGTTTCGGAAAGTCAGTTTCAAGAATGTCCTATATCCAATAACCGTAGAAACCAAAATGTATCGGTCACGCATTGTTGTCAATGTAATGGAATTCTATGCGACTGTCATATTAGTGAGAGGTTAAGCTAGCTATAAAACTAGGGTTATTCTACCATTTTCTACATAAGGATATGCCTGTACCAAGTCAGGAATATGACAGTTGTTTTCCATTCGTTTTATGTGTTTGAACTTTTGATTTTGTCATTTTTGATAAGGGACTTTCTGTTTTGAATTTTGGATTCGAGTTCGGTATTTTTTGTTATTTTACTTTTTTTCAATCAAATCTGAGACACAACCGCCGATATGATAATTAAAGACGATCGCTTTATTACCAGATTCAGTACTTCGGGTTTGCTTCCAGAGAGCATTATCTTTTTAATACGTTATTTACCGTCATCAGTATAATAAAGGTTCTTATAATATGTGAAGTTCATGTATTAATATTAGATATGGAAGAAACAAACGCCAGCTCTACAGTTCAAGTTGAGAGTGATTCTTCACCAGAAATTCCAGATACATACACAAATGCCTTATGTTATCAAGGTAAATATATCTGCTATTTAACTGTATTGCCTCATGAAGGAAATAAGTGTCATCGTTGAATGCAGTTTTGGTTTAGGAGACATTTAACGTGATCATATTCACAGTGGTATAGCTTCCAGTGAGGCGGTGGGACAACTGCTTGACCTAATTTAATAAAAACAACAGAGAGAGAAAAGATTGATAAAATTGATTTATTGGTTGATATATTGTTGCTTGCTTAACGCCCAGTTGTAAATATTTCATGCATATTTAGGACGAGGGTGAGAGACAGTGTATGACTTGAATTCGGTCTGAATGTAGAATGAATATGGTTCCGAACGAAAATGTATTTCCTTAACGTTTGGCGAGATTTACTTGTACATGAAGTTCTAATTATAAGTCTTATAATGTATGTGTTTTTTTAACCTTTGTTAAAAAGGAAATCTTTTACCTTCAGAGTCTCTCTACACAAGGCATCGGATTAACGTCCCAATTCTGACCGGACTTGACTTTGTACTTGTACATCCCGCACAGCCAAATGAACCCCCCACTTTGGCAAGAGTTTTATTGTCGATCGGAAGAAGACCAAGAATTACCATATTTCTATTCCTCAGTCACCCTTGGGGTGGCATGGGTTTGAATCTCAGCGCTGATCTATTATTTTGACAGGAGTAATATCTCTTTGGAATTTTATTTCTATTGAACATTGCATTGTAACCATTCTCACACCGACAATTCTTTTCGAGATGTTATAAATATTAGAGGCTTATTTAATTAAGGTCTTGGTAGAGTTCCGACCAACTTTTTTTACAGGAGTTATTCCCCTTGGAAATAGAAATATACGAAAAAATATCATTGTTAGGGATCGATCGCATGTCTGCATATCTAATAAGATATATACCAAAAGTTTAAAAATTTTCTTTTTTTAACTATTTCAATTTGACATATAAAATATTTGCAACACAGGGGACATAGAACGATGTTCTGTTATTAGTCTTGTTTCCACCCTCTTACGAATGCATGTATCATGTGAATTAATATAAAATGACTCTTGATAGAAGTTAGTGCCAATGAACGAGGAATTTGACAAAATTAAGTATATTGGTCTATTTAATATCTTGAAAATCATAGTGGATAAACAGAAACTGTAAAAACAAATATGATCAGCCGTACAAGATTTACTACTTCATCTCTAAATAGTTCTACACGATTAAAATTTAATTGACTCCTAATAACAATTATTGCACCTTAATCGCGATTGTTACCCATTTTTTTTCAAGTTCGCCTTTATATTATTTTCAAAACTTTAAAGATAGACAGAAATCTATAAACAGCTAAATGATCAGCACTATCTTCAAATAAATCTAATGATTGAAATCGTTAATTGATTTCTTATTGAAGGTATTGCCTATCAGTTTGTTAAGCTTTATGGGCCAATTATAACAACTAATTTTGCAATATTTTTAAATCTACAAAAGGATCAAAAGACATGTACAATGTTTTAAAAGATAAAATAATAAATATTACATCATATGAAAAGTGGTCCTTAATCCTAAATAGACATAATATTATCTGGAATAAAGTGTATAGAATGCCATTTTACCTAACTAAAAATTCAAAATTACAGTGGCTCCAATACAGGATCACTCACAGAATTTTGGGGACAAATGAATTTCTCTATAAAATTAAAGTTATACAAAACAATAAATGTACTTTCTGTACGGACTCAATAGAAACCATAGAACACATATTCTGGACATGTCCAAAAGTATTTGATGTATGGGAAGAACTTAATAGATGGATATATACAAAAGTCCAAGTTGAACTACCACTTAACTTAGACATAGTCTTATTTGGGATATTAGAAAAAACGAAAAAATACTACATAAGAAACCTCATAATACTATTAATTAAAGGGAAACTCCGCAAAAAAATGAAAAATTGATATTTTGTTCTTTAAGCATAAAAAACAACATGTTCATAAATAAAAAAACTTTTATTCTCTATGTAAAGAGATCAAAATCGATTTTTGAAATTCACTATCAGTTCTCGACATATCGCCATCTTGTCGGCATGTTCGATCTAAAAAGTCACGTGATATCTATAAACCACAAAGAACAAAAAGAATCGGGGATTTACCGACCGTGCGTTAAAAACTCCCATCATCAATTGGGGATTACCGTAGACGGTTATTCAGTGTCAAAATGTCTTGTCAAGCATAAGGTTGTTCTGTCAGACAAAGTTATGACAAAAGTCTACATAGTTTTCCCAATCCCACAAAAAAAGAAAGAATTGTATCAGACATGGTTGTACAACCTTAAACTAACAGCAAATAGTTGCATCTATAGCAAGCACAAGTTGGTGTGTGAAGACCATTTTGAACAATGTTGTTTCGAGGGAGATTCGATGGTAATTATCCTTTTTTAATAACAAAATAACCTAGCAGTTCTGATAGCTATAGTTATCAAATCCTTATATGATAAGATCTCCTTGAATAAAAAAATATAGATTTGATGAGGAATAACAGTTTTAATTATAAGAAAGACAAATGCAGTGTTCTTGTAACAATCACTGATTTACAGAAGATTCATTTGTATGCCTCTTTTATATAAAGTGCATTGATTTGTATAAAGAATAGTTCCGTATTTAGACGAGATAATTTTTCAATTAATAAAGTTATACGATATAAAATAACATTTTTTAAATTATGATATTTAACGGCTATTGACAAGGAGCAATGTTAGGAAGAGGTTTAAGCTGGGACATAATATGTTGATATAGTATAATATTCCCAGGTTATAGATATGTAAATATCGAAATATCGGACATCTCAATTTTTTTATTAAAAGTGGGTTTTTTTAACTAATCTTTAAATTATATCAAATTGATACGGGATCAATTCGGAACGTTCACTTATAAAGACACTTAGCTTTACAGTTAAATGTGTGACTCTATCTGGTATGTTCGGTGAACAATTTATAGTTTTTTTTTCTTTTTAAATTTTATTTACGTTATCTTATTATATATATATTTTGGCTCCTACCGAATTGATAATAGGTATGTCAGAATTATTGATAGATGTCGTGTCAGAGCGACACATTCAGTTAGGTATTCCAGGGACGTATATTAGATATACGTCCCTGGGTATTCCAGTGACATCCTGTCAACTAAAAATTCGTATTACACAATTATATAATACAGGTTCATGCATGGCCTCTTTATTGAGGTACCCGGTGTGCACAGATAACATTTATTGAACAATATATTTGTGTCTAACGTTGTTTATCTTGTGTGTGTTTGAAATTATAATTCCACCTTTTAATGAATGATGTTCTGATAATAATATTATCCACTATTTTTGCTGATAATAAGTTTAAAGAAAATTATAAACATGACCTTTGAACATTTTTGTGAAATGAATATTGTTTTGTCATGATTCTGGACCATATTTTTGAAAGAAAAAATTCTTCTTTTGTTGATTGGCAAACATGCAGGTATTTAAAGTAATGCAGCACTTATAGTCACTATCAACATTAATTCATTGAAGATAAGAGAGCCCCTTCTATGTCTAATGTCCCTATCTTTATAAGGATTAGGACGACAGGGGAAAAAGGAGCGGAGATAGAGTGGCATAGTGAAAAAAAAATAACCGAATAGAGAACAATATAGAGAATGATCGACAAAAAGCGAAATAGTTATTGTAAAGGAGCGTAGATAAAGAGAGGCATAGTGAAAAAAAATGTTTGCTTGACAAAGTTATTGCTCGCTTTGATATTTTTAGTTATACAAAATCACACATCGTGTTCCTAATTGGTATTCACCTGCACTAACTTGATGCTGGGAACAGTATATTAATATATATGTTCCTGCTTGATGTGTTAGGTTTCTGCATAGCATGGTTAAAAATAATTAGTATCCCATTTGTTATATCGTAGTGTCACGGTGTTATTTTGTTAAATTTATTTAGTTTGTTAATGATTGTGTAAATAAGAATAAATCTGTATAAAAGTATAAAAACTTCATACCATTTTAGTGATTGCCTATAGGCGTTTGATTATTGTTACATTTAAGATATATATATATATATATATATATATATATATATATATTTAGAACCGTTCATACATCTTAAAGTAAAAGATGTGTGTCTGAGTTAAACGACACAAGAACCCTGTAATACTAGTACGAGAGTAAAGCATGTAAAAATTCCTACTCAATATGGTTGTATTGGAAATCTTTTCATACAGATTGACAACTCATGGTCCGACATGCATGTAATATTTGCCACATGACGCTCATAGTTCTTTCTACCATCATCATCTAATTCATTAAATATTGCGGTAAACATCGATGGTTCACACCCAAACAAAATGGGAGTAATATACCTTCAGATCTTCTCCGTGGTATACACTTGTGAGATATATAGACGAAATTCGGTATTGAAGTGAATCTACATCTCACAAACACAATTTTTGAATTACGATTTTGAGTGAACACCCACCAAACCAATACAAACGTATGGCAAGATATAACCATGCAGGCATTTAGTTTTCGTCAGACATAAGATAAATAATCACTCTCATAAACGTATATATGCATGCAGTTTCAAATATCAAGAACAAGCGGTCGATGTCTATAGATCATTGTTAAATCCGTTTACTAACTGTTCAGAGCCAGATATGTCAATAGTTCATTCTTGGAACCTTCATATACCCCATCCGACGATGGGAACTCTTTCTGATAGTGTTGACAACATAAGCTTGTTTATCTGTACAAGTGGTTGCATGGCCTCTCCTTCCCCAACAAACAAAAACGCTACTAGTCTGCTATCTCTGGAGCTCATCCTTAATGGCGCTTATACGTCAGGAAACTTACAAGTATACTAGTAAAGATTGTTTCAAGAACAACGAGGTTAGGACGAACTGTTCTAAAATCGTCAATATCAGTAATACATTACTAAGATATGTCTTTAATTACAACAACTGTATTACTAATTTGGATTAATGACGGCTATCCTAAAAAAAAATCCTCAAACAAATTAATGTATTAGCTTAGATTTACAATGTATGTATATTGCTTAATGAAATAAACGATAATTGGTATTCTTTTCACAAATAATTTGTGCAAGTGATTGTCAAATGAATTTAATTATGTAAGAATGAAATGTTAATAAGAAAATTAAAAAAATCATGAATGTTGTGCTGTTGTATTTTTTCAATTAACTTGAAACTTTAAAATTGCGATAGTTTTACGATTGTTAGCATTTAAACATCGCCAGATTTAAATACAAGTTAAAGAATTCCGGTAAAGTAAATTAAACAGATGTGCAATGATTATTAATTGAGAAATGTAACATTTAATTTTTAAGATTAAAAGTACTATTCTTTTAACTTCATATCTTAACTTTATGCTAATTGCATAGAACGTAACCGAAAATTGTTCCATTTTAATATTGTAACACTTCCGGAATTAAAAAGTTGAATGTTAATTTTCAATTAATTTATACAATTTAATTATTGTTTCTCTATTGTCATCGGGTATTTCATCTGGGTATATTAAACACGCTATACACTTTCTGTTAATCCATTCAAAATGATAATATACACTCCTGTGTACGCTTGAATTCACACCTGTGTACGCCTGAGGCTAAATTGCTGCAAGGTAAAGTTCAAACGAATTCTCATCAAATCGAGAAATAAACAATGACTTTACAAAATAATATACACACTCTGTTCACAAAGATTTTGCATTGAAATGGTTATCAAAGTTATAACGGTAAATAAAACTTAAAATATTTTCAGTTCAATATCAGTAAAAATGTTCTATAGATATTTTATGAAAAAATCTCAATAATTTATGAAATTAATTCGAAAATATTTATATTTAGATAACTTCATATAGGAAGTTTTATTTAATCAATACAAAACGGTACACACATATTCATTTTCTTTCATTCTTATATTGTGGTTATTAACTACGACCAACGGTCATCTATGCGCTTTTAATTACGTAAAATTCTGATAAGCAATTAAGACTTTAACAGATTTTATTTTTTCCCATGATTCAACAAATCGGGTTAAAACGTCACAACCCAGTGACGTAGGTCAACCAAAAAAGTTACAAATACTTGATTTTCTCCGTTATTAGAAAGAATATAAATTTAAAACTTTGTGAATGTGTTTTTTTATGTTAAGATGAACATATTTAGATGATAAGTAAAAAATCGCGGACTTTCCCTTTAAATATTATATACAGAATAAAAATGCAAAGTGGACAAGTAAATATTGTAGCTTTAAAAAATTATCTCAAAGAAAATTTGTTTATTGAAAGAATAATATTTTATAAAAAAAATAAAGCGTACTCCTGCTGAAATCCCTGGCTCCAACTAATAGAATAATTACACAAGTAAATCTTTAAGTAATAAAAATATCTTCCCAATCTAGGCTGCCTAGGTTTTTTTTGTACCATTATTAATTATTTATAAGTTTGTCAAATGATTAAAAAAAAACAACTTTATGTATTTGTCTTGATTTTGCTGATGTACTATGGACTTACTATCATAATTATACCATATACTATGATTATTTATATATGTAGTTTTGCCAATAAACAACTTACAAAAAAAATAAAAACATTTTTATAACAGCATATAGTGCAATAAACTTGATTTTAGAATTGAAAAAAAAATGTGTAAACAATGAAGATGTTGATCTTAAAATAAAGTTGTTTTATGGTCCCGCAACAAAGTTGTCGGGGCCATATAGTTTTACCCTTATTCGTCATTCTGTCATTCCGTCATTCTGTCATTCCGTCATTCTGTCATTCTGTCATTCCATCATTCCGTCATTCCGCAACGATCGAGTTTACGTTTGATTCCGTTCCGATGATGTTTGCCGAAATTACGGATTTTCTTTTCTAAACACCTTCACATATTAAGCTGATTTTTAGTATGTGAGTCTTCTATGATGAGTTACAGATCGAGTTTACGTTTGGTTCTGCTGCATTAAATTTTGCTGAAATTACGGGCTTTGGACATTGAAAAATTTCGTGAGATTAACAGTTAAACGGATTTTCAATCTCAAATTTCCACTCATAAATATGGCTCCAAGCTTTTTATTGCGAGCGGGGCCATTCGTGTCGTTCCGACACATCTATTTTTTTTTTTAATTATTTCATATATTCACCAATAAGATATGCGTATAGTTTAAGAAAGAGAACATAAATTAAATTCTATTAATGTTAATAAAAATCTGGAGAGAGAAAAAACACATTTGAAATTATTTACCAAATTCACTACAATTTAAATGTGATTATTCTGGTAACGTTACATGTTATACATAACTGAAGATAAAAAAAAATAATGTTTTTTATTGTTATCCTATTTTTTTATGTCGAATCCTATTTCGATCGGATACTGGATATAAAGATTAAGATAACATATGACCATCGCACAGGATAACCCATTAAACAGCCTTATTTGCAAAAGGTTACCGGGTGAATGTGGATCCCACAATCACGATTTCCCACACAAATACAGTTATTCGATCGGAATTAGTTTTAGAAAATAGTATTATAACATCTACAATTACTACAGACTTACCATTGTATCACTTACTAGTGTTTTTTTTAAACTGATTCGCTTCAATTTCATTCTGTAATCTATAACCTTTGAAATGATCGTGCAATGCAGGTTTTTCGATCAGTTTAAGGGAATACATAGAAACATGTTGGGAACTATAATTTAAATGTTTTGATTTTTTTAAGAATTAAATACAATTGCGACTGTTAAAAGAAAATTTAATGGTAAAATGCATTGAAATATAACAATATGTACAGCTTGAAAGTATCCAAACGAAGGAATACCCACATTACGGGAAATTTTATATCGCGTTGACATGCAGCCAAAGTTTTCCACTGTCCTTTTTGACCAAATATAAACTTGACTGAGGGTGGGAATGATGATTAACTATGGAACTTTTTAACGATATATGTTTTACTCTATTTTACGCAAATGGTAACTGACAAACACGATCTAAAGAATAACAATAAAAAATAAGCTCATGTGACGTTTGCCATACTAATAGTAGCGAACAAATGGGGTGTATAAACGCATGGCGAGAAAGAACTTCACAACCCTCTTTTCTATCAAAAATTGGCAAATGTCCTATCGTTGTCAATATAATCGAATTTGATGCGACTGTCATACAAGTGAGAGGTTTAGCTAGCTATAAAACCAGGTTCAATCCACCATTTTCTACATAAGAAAATGCCTGTACCAAGTCAGGAATATGACAGTTGTTATCCATTCGTTTGATGTGTTTGAGCTTTTGATTTTGCCATTTGATTAGGGACTTTCCTTTTTGAATTTTCCTCGGAGTTTAGTATTTTTGTGATTTTACTTTCTATATTTACAAACAACGAGTTATTCTAATCATAAACTTGCTTTGAATCAAAGCAGTGATCGATACAGATCAGGATTCCCCCTTTTCTAACAATTTATTTGTACAAAAATGTTAAAATATTAATATAAGACTGGTTTCAAAAGAAATTTATTAGAATACTTTGAAATATCTGCTGGATCTTTCCATATGTATTGTGAAATATATTGTTTTAAATTCATCTCAACAGTATCAAGGAGTATATATGCAATTTGAGATGGTCCTCAGTAAAGCCTGTTGTAGATTTAGTATTCATCAGCGCCGGCAGCCGTATTGTATTGACTTTTCTAACACGTCTATTAAATCATTCAATTTAATTGGAGACAAAGCGATTTTAAGGATTACATTTTGTTTTGTATCAACTGAATGTTTATTTAATTTTTTTATGACCACAAGGCATAAGAAAGGTATTTTTCACGTTTTTTTTTTATCACATTAGCCAATTATATATGCATATTTTCAAATTGAAAAAGTACAAGATAGACGTAACTTTGCTCAGCTCAAATAATGCAGCCAACAACAATATATAAGGTTAACTATCAATTATACAAATTTAATACATCAATGTTTTTAAATATTTGCCATTTTATACTCAAATAATACTAGAATATTTTTTCTCATCACCAGCACATTATCAAGACAATTTCGTTTTGCGAATGTGCACGACCTTTGCTGCTGGACTGTAAGTCCCCGAGGGTATCACCAACCAAGTAGCCAGTACTTCGGTACTGGCATGAAAATACGGATTTTGTGTTATTAAAAATTGCTTTTTCCAAATTTTGGAAATTATTTTCTTATTCCTTGCCCGGCTTTGGCGATACTTGTTTGCCCTTTTTGGTTTATAGCTCTTCATCTGTTTAATAAGCTTTGAATTTTCAAATATTTTGGCCATCACCATCCCTGAAGAGACATTTATTGTCGAAATGTGCATCTGGGGCAGAAATATTGGTTCCGTTAATGTTATTGCAATAAAAAGTCTCTGTTAGTGACATATTACATATTGGTGAAAAAGTAAACAACATAATGGTTGTTTTATTGCCGTTCTGATTCAGATCCAATATAAACAAATTCACCAGCACCGATCAGAACATTATCTCGCAGAACAACCTTACTCACCGTGTATATCCTGTGGGATGAATTATTGATTTGAGTTATGAACAGCCAAATGGATAGACAGGTTTCTATTAAAATTAATTTAACAGAATACGAAATAAAAGTTCCACGTACACGTTCATGCCATTGCATTCTCGATTTTATTTTGAAACATCAAAGATAATCGCTCTTTTGTATAATTTACAGATGTACCAAAAGATTTAAGTGGCAACCAGAAACGATGGATGTTAGTCGGCATATGTCTAAATTGTATTATATCCCCCAATTTAAGAACGTATGTTAAATCCGTTATGGTTCAATTGTATTCCTCACTGACGAAATCATCAACTATGCAAATTGATTTACAAACGTATCCTAACCACCTTAAGTATTACCCATCTCCGTCTAAAGGATATTTCCTCAACTATGAAACAATTAACAACAACTACAAGTTACACGGGAGGCAAAAAGAAAAATATGATTACAAAGTACAGAACGAACTAGATTTGTCTAAATTATTCCTACCAATGAACATGACTCAGTATACAGCTTTTGATGGCACATGTGACTCGTCGGCTTTACTTGGCATTATTATCAACAATACCATCTTCCCGTCATCTCTACAAAATGATGCCAAATTGGTGAGTTGTAGTGTTATGACATTTTTATTTTGTTTGTTACAATACAATTTGTTGAGTGCTAAGTTACTTAAATGAATATTTCTATTACATTTAAGTATACTCAGTATTTTGTAAAAATGTTTACAGCTTTGGTAGTGATTTCTTCAAAGATTACTTAACGTAAATATATATACTTACCATAAAGGACACGGTCATACTAATTCACCCCGATATTTCTCGAACTTAATTATATATGTAAGCCGGACACATGGATATATGAGTTAATTTGACTAAATTCAATTCTTCAGATACATGTAATTTTGTTTTAAAAAATACTAACTGGAAATATTAACAATTGATTTGAAGTTGGAGTAACACGTATATTGCTTGAATATCATTTCGCTGTTGATTGTACAAAAATACAAATTCAAGAATCCATCAACAGGTCTGAAATCGTTAGTCATCTCCGTGTAGTAGTTATTGCCTTTAAAGGATTATATACCTTTTGGGGCGTTTTTGATGGAAACATTTTAAAATATTCTCATTGCATTGTATTAATTTTATGCAAACGTGACAGGTGAGCGATACAGCTCATTGGAACCTTTAGTTTTAGTAGATATCTATGAAAAGGAGTAATAAAATAATGTTCTATTTTTTGTTGGAAGATATTCAAGTTTACACCACTTTCCCTGTTAATATGTAATTTTTTCAATAAGAACATATTTGTTGTGTGAAAGGCTTTTTGGCATTCTTTCGAAGAGTTCCTAAAATAACAACATTTGTAAGATAAAAGTATAGACATTTCATTTCACATTTAAATGTTTACCTTTTGAAAAACAGCCGTTTGAGTGAATTATTTCCTTTTTGTAACAATGCTTTTCGTTCTATTTAATTGTTTTTGACGTGAGAACTTTTATTACACCAAAGTAGGGTCCGCAAATGAATTTCATATGAAAGACATATTTTACAGTATACTGTCACATTTTCGATGTGTCTCACGGATGTAGGTTTCTAAGGTATGCATTTGATCCTAGTGTGGACAAAACTAGTTACAGGCGTTCCGTAAATTTACTCACCTGGGCCCTTTTGGTCCGGGTAACCATAGGACATTGCCTATAATTTGTACATAGTGTGGACAAAAGTTTTTCCGTCGAAAATTAAAAAAAAAACGAGGCTTTTTCAATTAATTTTCTACAAATTAGCAACCGCATACACTACTTGGCCATAGCATAGTAAATTAAACAGAGAGGAAATAATATTTTCCTCTTTCTGCTTTGAAACATAGAAGGCATAATTTGTATAGTGTACACATATTAAGATGGCCTGTGCAGCACCTGAAGATTTATTTACTTTCTCTCTATATTGTCATGGCTATACTGAAAATAGTGTTTGGTTTCCTGTCGGATAATAAATACAACAATAAATTATAATGGTAGTTATAATTTATTTCCATGCAAGTCTATAAAATTATTTCAGAGTTTAAACAATTACTCCTTTATTAAGAATTTATCCTGACGTGTCACAATTGTCACCAATTCACCTTACATATCATTATCCCTTTCCCGTGATATTTCTATACGAGTTGTTGTTTATACGTGTAATATGGGAATAAGACTTTATAGTTTTGATCACAAGTGATGTGGCATTTCTTTTGGGTTTTTTTTTTGGGGGGGGGGGGGGTGGTTTTATCAATGTTTTTTTGTCGATGGCTTTTAAACATTTTCATATTCTGTGCACCATATCATTAGTAAGTAATACATTCTATGCATGTTTATAATTCTTTTTTAATTTCATATTTTAGATGAGGTCAGAAGTCAGACATCCCTGGGCACACTGTGATTTTAAAAAGTGGGACAGTATAGAATATTCCAAGTCATTTAAGTCAATGGAAAAACTTGTGAAAAGTTTGGATTTAATACTTTCGGAAGAAAACAGAATTTTGGCAGAATTGAAAAAATGGGAAACAACAGGTAACGTTTAAATGTACAAATTCATATGAAGCCATATCAATTAAAAATAATAATTTCTGAATTACGAATGAAAATAAGACTTTTGGGAAATTCAGTTGATCTGCAGCACATATGTTATCAAGATAATAGTTTGATATTACGCTGCAAACTAGATTTAAATAAAATAAAAAAAGGATGACAATAGAAGTCATATTTGTATTAACACTACAAAAATATATTAATTATATTATAATTGTGAACTTTCCATTTCTATGTAGCAACATTCCAGCAGCGCCTCCATATGGAGTACATATCTCCAAATTGATACGATATTCCAGAGCTTGCATTTCCTAACATAATTTTCTTGAAAGAGGGTTGCTGCCAACAAGGAAGCTATTTAATCAAGAGTCCAAAGTGATGAACATGAAATCATCCTTTTAAAATTTTTACTGACATCATAACGAGTTGGTTGAACGTTATGGAATATCTGTTTCACAGATGACGAAGGATATGTTACAGCTATCGTAACCACAATCCCATTCTCTTTTCCTCGAATGTGACCTACCGAATTAGACTTATCACAGGGTTTGTACTTACATGAGCAACACGATTGGTGCTATATATGGAACAGGATATACCTACCCTTCCAGAGCACCTGAGATCAACCGGTTTTTGGTAGGGTTCGTGTTGCCCAGTCTTTATTTTTCTATGTTGTGTTTTGTATTACATTGTTTTGTTTTTGCCATGGCATTGTCAGTTTGTTTTCGGATTATCCCTTTGGTATCATTCGCCTCTTTTTGTGACTTATACTCATGATAAAAGTAAATAAACTCATCATATATACCAGGCTTAAAATGTTGTATGCCAGACGCTCGTTTCGTCTACAAAATACAGCTGAGGTAATCTATTCAAGAGGTCGAACATCTGTAGTATTTCGAAAAATTCCAAGATTTGCAAAAAGTTAATTTTATTATGACAATATCAATGATAATTCATGTCATCACAGAAATGCTCACTATTGAGCTAATGATACCCTCGGGGAGGGGGGACACCTCCACCAGCAAAGTAACCCATCTTAATATAAAAATTACTTATATGCAAAGGGAAATAAGTCATGCAATTCTTTTTTTGTTTGCTTACTTAATAATCCTAAAGAAAAAGGTGTGATTTTTTTAGTTTCGGCTGATACGATTTAACAATTCATTCAAATTTATTTTTTCTTACTCTTAAATGTTACATATTGTAAAAATTATTTAATTTTATTTCCAAGTTTTGATGATGACTTAAATGCTCAAATACAAAACGAAGGGAAGAAATGTTTACGAATTTGAAAAAAAAATGCATCAGTCAGGTTCGGTTTTTGTTTTGCGAAGTAAACTGTTTGAATATAAGTATATATTGATAAACAGTTGAATAGTTCATCGTGGTTTAAAAAATTAGTTGCAAAATATGATTTTCTTACGAACTTATTTAAACTAATGACACACTTCGACTTTTCTTTTAAATATTTTAAAAATGAATTTCTTCAACATTTTGACTAAAACATGTCATTATTTGTTGAACATTTACCGTTTATGCGTGCGTCTTCCCAAACTACGCTTCGTCAATAACCGGTTACTTGATCTTGCGCGGATCAGATTAAGATATGTAAACTCTGAGCAGGTTTATTATCTCCGGTTGTTCATGATAGCTAGTAAAACTAAGATTGGCTATACCTTTTATTATCATTGAAGTCAAATTTGAATACACTCATATAAATTAATAGATGAGATATGTATTGTTTCCCTAACACAGATTCAGAGATATATGCATTTCTTATGATAGATGAACCTACTATCCAGACTGACACGTTTTGTCCTAAAATGTATAATATATTGACAATATTAACTTAAATGACCGTACTATTTAAATTATCGGATTCTTCTATAACTTCTGAAAGCTATCAAACTCTAATGACCAATTACTTTGATTTGTTCCTCAGAGAAACTAAGCATAATTGCAAAGGTCACACCATCGATGCGAAAAGAAATAGTTCCATACTTTGATTGGTCAATGCCAATGTGCCCAATTTGTTTAGAACCCCTGGAAACTGGTTTCGAGTCAGCGGGGAACCATCAAAGTGACAATATAATACTAGTATACCACTTATACACTTTTAATTTTTAAAGACCTAAATGTTGCAAAACACTTGTCCTACCTCCATGACAAATATGTTGTTGTCCCCGCAGATAAAGCCCCAAACAACATCGTTTTTGTGTGTAAATATCATTACATAAACTGCTTGATAAATGAATTAGGTATTGACAATTCATTTTGAAACTCAACATATACCCTCACGACACTTACCAAAGAGGAAATCCTGGATAATCATAGATCTGTTCTATGTTCCTTTGGAATTTCAACCAAAGATGAAGAACTGGATCTTCCATCACTGTATTGGATACCTAAACTACATAAGTGTCCTTACAAACAACGGTATATTGCTGGGTCGTCCAAGTGCTCCACGAAACCTCTTTCTAAATCATAAACATCTATTTTATCAGCAATCAAAACCGGGCTCCAAAGTTATTGTGAAACTGCCTATTCTAGAGGTGGCGTGAATCAGATGTGGATACTAAAAAATTCCAAAGATCTTTTAGAGTACATACAATCTAAGACTCTCTCATCTTGCAATAGTATTAAAACATTTGACTTTTCTACACTTTACACAAGTATTCCCCATTCCAAACTAAAAGACAAATTGAAAGAGTTGGTATTACTTTGTTTCATTAAAAAGAATGGCGAACGTAGATACAAGTATCTTGTCTTGGGGAGGGATAAATCTTACTTTGTAAAAAATCACTCTGATTCAAACAAAAAATTCTCTGAAACTGACATTATCAAGATGCTTGATTTCTTGATTGACAACATATTTGTTACGTTTGGAGGACGTGTTTTTCAACAGACTGTCGGAATTCCAATGGGAACCAATTGTGCCCTCTTCTTGCCGACTTGTTTTTTTGTTATTATGAGGCTGACTTCATACAGGAACTTCTTAGGAAGAAAGATAAGAAGTTAGCAATATCCTTTAACCTTACGTTCCGCTATATAGATGATGTTCTCTCACTAAATAATACAACATTTGGTGACTATGTTGAACGAATCTATCCCATCGAACTAGAGATAAAGGATACTACAGATACAGTTAAGTCTGCCTCATATCTTGACTTACATCTAGAAATTGACAATGAGGGTCGGTTGAAAACAAAACTTTACGACAAAAGAGATGATTTCAGCTTCCCAATTGTGAACTTTCTATTTTTATGTAGCAACATTCCAGCAGCGCCTGCATACGGAGTATATATCTCCCAATTGATACGATATTCCCGGGCTTGTATTTCCTATCATGATTTCCTTGATAGAGGATTACTGCTCACAAGGAAGCTATTAAACCAAGAGTTCCAAATGGGGAAGTTGAAATCATCCCTTCGTAAATTTTACGGACGCCATCACGAGTTGGTTGACCGTTATGGAATAACCGTTTCACAGATGATATCGGATATGTTCCTTATGTCGTAACTACAATACCCTTCCCTTTTCACGAATGTGACCTACCGAATTACACTATTTACCGGGTTTATAATAACATAAGCAACACGACGGGTGCCACATGTGTAGCAGGATCTGCTTATCCTTCCGGAGCACATGAGATCACCCCCAGTTTTGGGTGGGGTTCGTGTTGCTTAGTCTTTAGTTTTCTATGTTGTGTCATCTGTACTATTATTTGTCTATTTGTCTTTTTATTTTTGGCCATGGCGTTGTCAGTTTGTTTTCGATCTATGAGTTTGAATGTCCCTCTGGTATCTTTCGTCCCTCTTTTATTGGATGTCGAATCTTTAAATGAATTTGCACAATGTTAATCTGACATATCTCATTACTTGATTGTTTGGCTACATTAATTGCTGTCCCTCTACCTTACTATTCATTTTTTGAAGACGCAACATATATTCTGACATTATATTTTGTAGCATGAACTTTTATAGCAAGATTCGTTCCATTAGACCCCGTCCTACGAGATGCAGTTGTTATTTCACGAACTCGAAAAAATAAAGAAAAACAAATAAAATCAAAAATGCACTAGAAAATAATAAAGCTTCGTAACTGGAGTTACAGAGTGAATTAAGAAATTCTTACGATTTCTACTAATAAATCATTTGTCAATATACAGTATGATCTTTTACCCTAGACTTTGTCATTCCATCCAACATTTTTTTTTCTTCATTGTTATCAATCTTGTTGTAACAACTAATGCCCGAAATATAACACGTTACTTTAGATGGCGCTAGACATAAGCAAGACAAAAATGCAATAAACTACACAATGTGGATCAATGGTATTGGAAAACTTTGCACTAATTTCCAAAAATCCCTTTGTTTATAAAATGCATTCATAGATTACTGGTAGATTGGAATTGGCAGTAATTGAACAATTGACCAATCTGTTCGTTTCAGACTCGGCATCAGATACCTTGTTTAAAACTAAGCGTCACCCGCCTGAAACTGAAATTGATGTCATACACAGAATTTCCAACATTTCGCTTCAAACTGCATCTTACAGTTTATGAAACAATCCATTTCACCTGAAACTTGATTGGCTATAAAACAAGGTGCTTTGTCACAGATCCCATCATAGTTGTAACTGTAACAGTTGTTTGATTGCCCAAAATTACTTTTACTTCTAGCAGTACTGAAAGATTTATTAAATGAAACTTTTGATACGTAAGATTACCTTAGCTGTATTTGGCAAAACCTTTCGGAATTTTGGGTCCTCAACATCCTTAAACTTCGTACTTTATTTGGCAATTTTAACTTTTTTTTAATTCGAGCGTCACTGATGAGTCTTTTGTAGACGTAATGCGCTTAAATTCTGGCGTACAAAATTTTAAGCTTGGTATCTATAATGAGTTTATTGATTGGTTGCATATATAAAACCCAAAGCTCAGTGTCCATATTACTCAGTTTTTATTGAGTTTTTAGTACGGAGTTTACGAATGTATCAACGGCACAAAAAGTGACGTATTTTTTGTGACGTTTATATTATCACAGGTAAATTTCTAAAAATAGAATAGATTTGTGTTAATATTGTAGACACGTACAAGAATAAAAAATTGGGATTGAGTTTGTAATGGTGTTGTTGACATTGACATGTCATTTCTTGATAATTAACTGTATGCGAAATGTTGATTTTATCATAGCACTACGGTTTTTCTACCCAGACATAAGTAACCTTCGCCGTATTTGGCACAACTTTTCGATTTTTTTGGTTTTTAATGCTCAACTTCGTATTTGATTTGGCCTTCCAGCTGTTTTGATTTGCGCGACATTAATGAGTCTTATGTAGATGAAACGCGCGTCTTGATTATCAAATTATAAACCTTGTATCTTTTATTACTTTTTACAACAACTGGGTGGATGCCACTGCTAGTGAATGTTTTGTCACCGAGGTTATCACCAGCCCAGCAGCCCAGGACTAATGTGTTGACATGAAATATCATTGATAATTTTTTATCTGTGTAAATTTTCTGTCTATAAAATATTGAAACATTCGAAACACTAATGTTTTTTCTACCCCAAAACATAGATTGCCTCAGCCGTTTTCGGCACAACTTTCAACTGATTTGATTTGAGAGTCAATCTATTAAGATATGAAAATATGTGCATGTTCGGCGGCACACGTGTTTACAGATGATTAATGAGAAAAGATGATATTCATGGAGTCAGGAAATCAAAAAAGATCATTATAATAATGTATTAATGATGAAATAAGTAAAAAACTATCTTCTTCCCAGTGGTGAATTGTAGCCAAGGAAGATCGGTAAAAATAAAGATAAATATACAAATAGATAAATAAACAGATAGTGTATGCCTCTCAAAAGTACGAGAGACACATGTAAACACCCACTTCATATAAACTTGTCATAGCTACCCGGCTTAAAAAGATTTTACGCCAGACGCGCGTATCGTCTAAAAAAAACTAATCAATTAAGCTCAAATCAAAATGTTAAAAAGGCCAAATAAAGTACAAAGATGAAGAGCATTGTGACCTATACAAATTAGCTTACAAAACAGTCTATTATATCTATTTCATATAGGTAATCAACATTTTTTTTTAGTAATCAGAATCAATTTTTCGCATCTAATAAAACAGTTAAATTGTCACTTATTTACGATGTTAAAATTTAAAAAAAATATTTATATCTCAACTATTTATTTATATTTTTCTCTATTTTCATAAAAATTGTCTGACATATTTTGGTTCTTATACATCCTTGGCTTTCAAATATTTGTCTTGATCGTTCCTAATGAAGGTAAATCCAGAAAAGCGCTTCGGACGCATGAAATTACAAAACGTTGCTTTCATATACATATGTAAGAGAGATTTTACCAATAATAACAGTACGAATAAAAAGGTCAAATTATAAGATAAGACAATAAACTATGCCAAGAACAAAATCCTGCTGTAAAGATCGATTTCTTGTATAATAATGATTTATTTTTAAATCCTGAAAGAACTTATAAGAAATCAACACAATTTTGACATGATCCAGGAATTTTTAAAGAGGAACGTAATTTCCGAAAAATAGATTAAACACAATTTTATTCTGCCGGGAAAAGCGATGCGAAAATATTTCGACGATATTGTGCAAACAATTAATATATCTTTTTCCCAATCAACAGGTTGCGTAACTACGCCCCCTGAATCCGCCACTGGTTAACGTATATAATGAACACCTGTAACATGTGTGTAAGAAAGTCGCTCATAGATAATATTTTAATTATTCCAAAATCTATTTATACATATAAAGGTATTCCTGTACCTTTTTTTCTTAATATAAACAAAACCAAAACAAAACCAAAAACAAACAGAAACGAAAATGTATATTTAGAATCTAAAGTCAAATGCGTTCATGTAAGGACTGTTTGATTCACGCACTTGAACACTAACTAAATATTCTCATTAAGAATCAAAAACAAAGTATTCTAAAAAAAAGTTAAGTCATTTTTTACTGATATGTCATTTGATTTCTTTAATTTGATCATGATGAATACAACAATCCCATGCATTAAATAAATATTATCTCAAAAACAACAGTAACGGTTAAGTTACGTACCAACCGTACCTGATACGTAGAAAATCGGGAAACCTCTATTAAGATGAAGCGCACCTCTTGCGTACAACATTAAAAACCTGGTATTTTTGATGAGTTCATACACATCATTCTAATATGACGTGCTTCTTTCGCTTTGTAAAGAACAGCGTGATAAAATTCTCGATATATCTATACTTAGCGCAGACTCAGAGATGTACATATTAATGGCTGTTACTATTTACCTCCCACGTAAATCCACAGATATCGTAACCTTAGTGCGAACACTATGTGGATTTCGTTGTTTTCAAATTGAAAATAAAAAAGAAAAAGAAACTGCAGAACCGTTATTCCTATTCAAATGCATAACAAAAAGAATTAATGCATAAGAGCTTAAAAAACTATATAAACTCCAAGTACTCGCAGAGCGGTTTGTGTTCGTAATGTAGTGGTGGTATGACACATATACTACACGGAAGTTCTTCAAAACGAAATTATTAATTCCTCTACATTCAGGTCCGTACGCACCACTGAGAGTCAAATCGTTAACAAGCATATCACTGCCACTACCCAGCTTAAAGCCTCTTCCGAACATTTGAAAGTCCCTACCATGTACTGGTTACCGAAATTACACAAAAAACGATTTAAATTCCGTTTCATCTCCGCATCTAGTAAGTGTTCTACTACTAATATATCAGTGCTTCTTACTACCTCCCTTACTACTACCAAGTACTATCAAAGAACTGGTTATTAACTTTTGTAATAAAGCTTATAAATTATGGTATTAATTATTTTTTGGGGTGTTAAAAATTCTTTAGAGGTTTTAGATAAAATACATCCTTTTGATGGTCCTTTTGGTTCTGTTGACAGTTATGATTTTTCTACTCTCTACACTACACTTCCACACAATCTAATAAAGAAAAATTTTTCATATTTAATAAAATGGACTTTCGAAAAATCTCATTGTAAATTTATTTGCTGTAACTCGTTTAAAGCCTTTTTCTGTAACGAAAAAGGAAAGTATGCTAGATACACTTACTGGAAATGTGAGGATATGATTACAGCTTTAAATTTTCTCCTAGATAACATATATGTACGTTTCGGCGATAAAGTGTATCGTCAAGTAGTAGGTATTCCTATGGGCACTAACTGCGCCCCTTTAATAGCAGATATATTCCTGTATTGCTATGAATCTCAGTTTATGACCAAACTCAGTAGAGACACATCATTGTTACATTTGGTTGATACATTCAACAATACCTACCGTTATCTGGATGATATTTTTTCGTTAAATAATCCAGAGTTCTCTAAATATACTACCGAAATTTACCCAAAAGAACTTACTTTAACTAAATCTAACATAAACAGCAGCAGTTGTCCTTTTCTAGATTTAGACATTACAATTTCTAAAGGGAAACTCCATACTGAAATTTACGACAAAAGAGACGATTTTTCATTCCCTATTGTTATTTTTCCTTTTTAGACGGCGATGTGCCTTTGGCTCCATCATACGGTGTTTATATATCCCAACTCGTTCGGTATGCCCGTGTGTGTAGTGATGTCATAGATTTTTACGAACGAAATCAATGCATCACTAGTAAATTATTAAGTCAGGGAGTTTTCTCAACTGGATTGTTTCATATTTTTTCGCGTCGGGGTCTTTTATAGCCAACTATACGGTATGGGTTTTTCTCATTCTTGAAGACCGTACGGTTGCCTATAATTACTTACATCCACTTCATTTTAACTTTGGTGGATAGTTCTCTCATACACAATCATACTACATTTCCTTATTTTTAGATTATTAAAATTTTGACATGTATTTTCAAACGTATCAGATTTTTTTCAGAGGTAGCCAGTGTTACAGTTGATACCAACCTATATGATAAGCTCACGACTTTGGAGAATGAAAACATTGCATTGAAAGCAGAAATGCAGATACGAGATAACAACCCTATTCCAATCAATATCAGAGGTATGTTACCAATGAGGATGTGAATGGGGGTTTACAAAATAGAGAATAAAGGGCAAAAAATATAAAGAATAGAGAAAAATGGACCAAAAAAGAAAGAATAGAGAATAATGAGGTGCTAAATATAAGGAATAGAGAAAAATGGCCTAAAAAATTAAAGAATACAGAAATGAAGGAACCCCCATCCAGACCCTCAAAAATGGATTACTATTGTCGCATCCTTAAAGTACATTAAGCGATTGTTGAAGCATGTTCCTGAATTAATTCCTTAAAGTCTTCCTCGATGCAACATTACAACATTAATTGGAAAAATGGCAAAGAAAAGTAAATTCAAAATTGCAACTATTATGAATATACTGTTTACGCATAGATATATATGTTTTGTCGAAAAAGCTTAGGCGTGCTGTTTCTGGTGGTGGAAGCGGCAGCGTCAAATAAAGGAAACAGTAGTATAACGCTGTTTCATAATCATAATTCGATTAAGCGAAAACAAATCCAGGTTATAAACTAAAACCGAGGGAAACACATCAACTATAAGAGGAAAACAACGGAACAACAGAAACACTGAACTGCAATAAAAACAAACGCTAACATACATAGAAACGGACTATTTGACAACAACAGCCATATTCCTGACTTGGTACAGGACATTCTAAGAAAAAAATTGTGGGTTGAACCCGGTTTTATGGATAGCAAAACCTCCCGCTTATATGGCAATGTTAAAAATACCGCTAAAATGAAAACACTATGTGACAGGAATACAATATAAAAAAAAATGCAAGAACACTCAGGACAGAGAAATACATAAATAAATAAATATAATCGTACAATGTATATTACAACATGTAAACCGCAGAATAACAACGGGCACCTCCAATGAATTTACGACAGTACACCAGGACACCACAAACAACAGTTTGAGATTATGGGGAACCACTCATGGTTCGTTAAATGATATTTGGTATAAGTCTTGGCATTTCTCATTTCTATGGAGATATTTGGTATTCGATTGTATAAGCATTTGCAAGTCTCATTTCCGTAGGGATTATATGACCCCGTTCCCTCATCATGGTTCATTGACTTTGAAACTGTTGCATAGTTTACATGTTAAAAGTTTTGTGTTTTGGTTACTTTAAAGGAAACCATTTATGATAAGTCAATTTTATTCGGTATGCAGTTTTAAAAATATTGGTATTCCTCATTTCCATGGAATTTATTTGACTCGGTCATGTTTCAATGACTTTGAATGATTTGCAAAGGTTACGTGTTAAAATATTGCCATTTTAATTCAAATTATACAGAAGAATTCTTATTTGAAACATTTTACCATATTTTCACGGTATCGTCACCTTATGCATGACGAGCGTTATATGTTATTCGGTGTCATTAAACTTTTCTAAACATATTTGCGACTAAACGTACCAGATATTGAAAATTATGAAGTACAAGCTAAATATTTGGTCTAAAATCTGAAGGTCTACAACAGCGATTTAGTGAAGAGGTTAATCCTTGTTTATTGTTTAATTACTGTTACCTTCAAAAGACAAATCACTCTGTAAATCTCAGAAGGAAATATCAGAAGTCAATATAGGAAACTATGTTTCAAAACTCTCCTTTGGTTTGAATTTGAGTTTCCCGAACATTTCGACTTTTTCCTTTTTCTTTCGCAGGGCAATATAAACAGTACATCACAGAATGGATTAATGATGATGAAACCTTTGTTATAACAAGGGCAACAGAATCGTCGTTAAAACAAATATTGATCGATAATTGTGTTGTTGTTACTGGAAGCTCAGGCAATGGAAAATCTTCTATCATCCACCATGTAGCTTTACAATTACAGAAAAGATACGGATATGAAATAATACCATTTATAACAGGACCTTCAGACATCGTTCACTACCATGATACGACTAAGAAACAAGTTTTTGTTGCAGATGATGTGTGTGGTAAAGAATTGATTAATTTACAAACAGTTCAAATTTGGAAAGATTATTCTGAAAAATTAGGCAAAATATTTCAAACTGACGACAGCCACACAGATACGGCTTCATCCAATCAAATGACATCTTCGAAATTACTTATTTCATGTCGACTTCACGTGTACAAAGATTTCCGATTACAACGTGTGAAATTGTTTACAAAACAAGAATGTAACTTGCTATCACCAAATCTGTGCCTACTGCCGGTTGAGAGATTGATGATGATAAAGCATTACCTTTCAGATGAAACGATTGATCAAATTAGGTATTTAATAGAACTGTTTGATTTCTTCCCCCTGCTGTGTAAATTTTCAAAAAACAAAACATCCGAAGAATTGATAAACCTGTTTTCTGTCCCATTTGACAATATTAAAAAAGACATTTCTGACATTGTTTTTTCGCAAGAGGATGTACAATACTGTGTTATTGTTCTTTGCGTCATATTTGACGAAACGTTCAATGTTGAATGGCTGAGATTAAAATCGGCACCAAAAAAAAATAGATTGATAATTAAAGATATTGTTAAAGAATTTGATATTGACTTAGATATAGAAAAATCAAGAAAGCGGTTGAAAGATGGTTTTTCTATATTAGAAGGGACTTACTTAAAGAGGAGAGGAACAGAGTACAGAATACTGCATGATAGAATATATGATGTCGCAGCTGTTGTCTGTGGACAAAATCTCCAAGAATGTGTCCTTAAGCATGCTTCTATCTCATTTGTACGAGATAGATATATATTCGAATCAATGCAGAGTGACTTGGTAGATAACATAATCGTTCTTTCAAAAGACATGGAGGATGACTATTTCGAACGATTGGTTAATGATTTGAAACTTAAGAATGTGCAAAGCATCTTACACAATAAACAACTAGTGCATGAGTCATTTAGACGAAAATTAATGCAATATCTTACAAAAAATCTTCAAGAAGTCAAATTTCTTTTTGAGCAAATGGTGACGCTCTGTGTTTCTGAAGAAGAGGAAACTGATTACGGAAGCAAATTTGTAGAAATGACAACGCCTTTGATAGAAGCATCAGCAGAGGGTTTTCTAGATATAGTACAATTTTTGGTCGATATCAATTGTAGTGTTCATCAATTAGATAGTTTCGATAGGTCTCCTTTACTTGTTGCATGCTATTATGGACATATGAATATAGTTAAATTGTTACTGAATATCAATGTGGATGTTCAGCAGCGTGACAAGTATGGGCAGACACCTTTGTACACTGCTGTCAATGCGGATTATTTAGATATTGTGAATCTATTACTTAATAACAACGCACATGTCGATCAATGTAACAATGATGCAGAATCGCCCTTATTTTTAGCTTGTGAGGAAGGATATACAAGAATAGTGAAAATCTTAATAGAAAATAGTGCTGATGTTGCTCTGTGTAACATGTTGGGTCAGTCACCTTTGTATGTAGCTTGTAAAAACGGACATGCTAATATTGTCCAGCTTCTACTTAAAACCAGTGCTAATCCAAATCAGAGTGACTGGGCCGGTCAATCACCACTGCATATGGCAAGTAACAACGGACATACAGACATAGTGAAACTTTTAATTAAGTATAATGCAAATATCTTTCAGTTTGATATCGAAGGTCAGTCACCATTACATATGGCATGTAGACATGCTCATATACAAATAATGAACCTCTTCTTGGAGGCTGATGATACCTTAACTAAATTTGAAGAAAAAAAGAAATTACTATTGCATATTGCTTGTCAAGGAGGGTATGTAGATGCAGTGAAACTGTTATTGAAAAAGAAAGCTGATGTATCGAAACGTTTACCAAACGGGGAGTCATCTTTGTTTGTGGCTTGTAAATGGGGTCGTATCGATGCAGCACAACTGTTGCTAGATCACGATGCTAACGTTTCACAGTGTAACAAAGGAAAGCGGTCGCCATTGTTTGAAGCTTGTCATAGAGGACACATTTCTGTAGTGAAGTTATTACTAAAATATAAGGCGGATGTCTCCAAATGTGACACGAAAGGGAGGTCCCCTCTGTTTATGGCTTGTAAAATGGGATATACAGATATAGTAAAACTGTTAATAGAAAACGATGCTGAAGTCGATCAAAGTGACAAGAATAGACGGCCCCCCTTGTTAGTGGCATGTGAAGGAGGACATACAGATATTGTTGATTTGTTATTACAAAATAATGCTGTCGTTTCTAAATGTGACAAGTTCAGCCAGTCACCATTGTATGTTGCCTGTGATTGTGGATATGTTGATATCGTAAAATTATTGCTTGCAAGTAACAATGATTCTTCTCAATGTAACACATTTTGACGGTCACCATTGATTGTGGCGTGTAAAGGAGGAGACAAAGCTATAGTGGAAATGTTACTGAATAATAAAGCTGATGTCTCACAATGCGATAACCGTGAACGGACACCGTTACACATTGCTTGTGAATATGGACATGTTGACATAATACAAATGTTATTACAGAGCAAGGCCAATATCTCGAAAGCCAACATAGATGGCGAATCACCACTATACGTTGCTTGTAGAGAAGGAAAGACTAATGTAGTAAATATTTTACTGGAAAAAAATGCTGGTATATCGCAATGTGACAATTTTGGACAGTCGCCGCTGTATGTGTCATGCAAAGTTGGACATGAAGATATAGTAAAGATTTTACTTGAACACAATGCGGATTATGAACAGTGCGATGAAAATGGGGAGTCGCCATTGTACGTGAGTTGTGCAGGAGGATATGAAAACATAGTGAAACTTTTATTGAAATACAACCCTGATGTCTCCAAGTGTAACAAGCAAAGTCAGTCGCCATTGTTCGTGACTTGCATAGATGGGCACACAGATATAGTGATACAATTGTTGGAGAAAAATGATGACGTCTCGCAGTGCAATGCGAATGGATGGTCTGCATTACATGTGGCATGTGATGGAGGACATACAAATATAGTTAAAATATTGCTTGAAAAGAATTCAAATGTAAATTTATGTAATAACGCAGGCGAAACACCATTAGATCTTGCTCGTAAGTTCGAACGCTTAGATATAGTGAGGCTATTTGAAAGTCTTCAACGTTTCTATTAAGTTTTGGATTTTTCAAATAATTTTGGCCTTTCGCATCAGTGAAAACTAACACATTAATTGCCGAAATGCGCATCTGGTGCAGTAAGTTTGGTATCGTAAACGTAACGATATGATAATAAGTTAACGTTGATTATGTTATGCATTCAAGTTCAGAAAATTTATTGGACAGTGTTATTAAAAATGTTTTGCTTCATGAAGGAAGCTTTTAAACTCAAATCGGAAATCCAAGACAAGAAAAATGAAAAAGAACAGATCTACAGTATAGAGATTGTGACCTCAAGTAACAGTTTTCAACTCGTGATGAAAACAAATAAAATTGGTACGTCACATTCGAGGCAAGGAGACAGGTTGTGGTTAGGAGAATTGGAACATATCCGTCGTCATCTGTGAAACCGATGGTGTCCATAAAGTTTTCAAAGGAATGATTTCAACTTCACCACTTGGAACATAGAATATGCAGCAACCAAATGAGACCAAAACACGTTAAACATGCTGAGCAAGAAAAGTAACATGAGGGGAAGCATACCTGTAAAGTCAAAAGAGGGGCATGTACTAACTAATAAGAAGGAACAATTAGCGAGATGGGAAAGGCACTTTCAATAGATTTTAAGCTGGCCATTTTTCGTGGCGACTCCCCTGTTAGTACTAACAGATATTCAACCTGGAGATGTTGTTGATATGAATATCTAACAACCAACCATAGAAGAGTTAATAAAGAGTATAAGGGCACTCGGTAATGGTAAAGCTCCTGGTATAGAAAACATGCAAGCTGAACTATTAAAAGCTGATGTAGGAACAATAGCAAAAGTCTTTTGTCATCTTCTACAATTTAGTATTCAAAGTGATTTGGAACAGGGAAAAAAACCCACAGACTGGCAACAGGGAATTATAATCAAACTCTCTAAAAAAGGAAATTTAAAAGACTGTGACAACTGAAGAGGTATAATCTTACTGTCTCTGGGAAAGTCCTCTGTAGAAAACAAATCTAATAGAATAAGAGATGCTATTGACAACATTCTACGGAAAGAACAAGCTGTAGATGTTGAGGCTGTATCAATCAAATGTTCATCCTGTAAAATAAAGTAGAACAGTGCATTTAATGGAACAGTCCCCTATTTATCACCTTTATCGACTACAAAAGGGCGTTTTCCATCGAGAAACCTTAAAAGAGATCATGGCAAATTATGGAATTCCAAGTAAAATCATCAGAATGGTGCAAACATTGTATGATGACTTCAGTTGTGCAGTTGAAACATTCGGAAGGATTCCACATTAAATCTGTACTGGGTATAGACTGGACAATGAAAGGAACAACACAGAAAATGCGTGGTATTAACTGGAGAAGATAAGGCGTAACAGAAGATCTTGATTTTGCAGATGGTATAGCTCTCCTGTCAGCAACAAGGACGTATTTGCATACAAAACATGATATACAAAGGATAGCTGCAACAACTGGATTAAAAATAAACAGGAAAAAAAGTAAAATAATGTGTGTAAAGGTAAACAACATCCAGCCTATTACGAAAGAATAAAGTTGGTGGGCAGTTTCACATACATCGGAGCAGTTATAGATACCAGCGACTATCCAACAGCCGACATAACTAATAAAATAAAAAAGCAAGATCAGCATTTTACAAGCTAAGAAAACTATGGGTATCAAACCAATACAGTAGGAACACCAAAATGAAAATTTATAAAAGCAATGTAATATCAGTGATGTTATATGTAGCAAAATGTTGGAAGATACACAAGAGCGATGGAGACAAACTTCAAAAACTTGCGTAGAATCTTTAGGATATTTTCGCCAGCTACGATTTCCAACACAAAACTGCTGTAAAGAGCCAACATGTGTAGCTTCTGAACACCATTTAGACCAGGAGATGGAGTTGGATAGGTCACATCCCGAGGATGGTCCCATGGAACGATTGGCAATTCGCTTTGACGTGGACACCACCAGGAAAGAGAAATGTAGGAAGACCAAAGGAAACTTGGAGACGAATGATAGACAAAAAAGAACAGACATTGAATGGAAGACATGTAGAGAAGTATAGCAACAAGCAGCAGACATACTCAGATGGAAGGCTTCAGTTCGCGCCCTATGCGACACATAGCGCTTACGGGAATTCTAAGTTGAGCTTGGAACTCTAGTTTTAAATGCTTTCTTATAAGCAGCAACCTTTTTTCACAACTTTTAAATCGTAATATTCACGAAAAGGCAATACTTTTATATAGAAAGTTCAAGGGACAAGAGCAGACCGGCGTACTCGAAATTTTAGATGAGGAAAATAGGTATATCTTGGGAAATTGTAACATGCTAAGGAATATTTGGAATACTCCAAAAAATGGTGACTTGAAAGAGCTTTAGATTTTTTATGCACCTGATTTTTCCAAATTTTTTTATTATCAATATGCAGCAAAGATTATATTTTTTTAAATTTCAGTTTCACAAGCTTCTAATGCAATTATCTTGATAATAATGAAAATAAAATATTTGTATATTGCTAATAACACAGTTTACTGTTGCCTCCGATTTATATTAAAAGGGGCATTAGCTACGAGATATGAAAAAGATTAAAATATGATTTTTTTTTTGTTCAATCATGAATGAATACGAAATACTGAAATAATATTTCGCTTTTAGCAGCTAGTTTGGTTCAATTTTGTCAAAATAGTAAAGAAATATCGCTGATAAATTATTCACTTGCAAGTGAATAATTCGACATCATTGAATCCGTATTCATGTGAACTTCAAATTAACCCCTTAGCTAGAGATGTGAAACGCATGAACTAGGCGTGTTCAGCTATTAAAAAGAAAAGAATGTCAACATTGAAAGTGAAACAAGGGTAAACCATTTGGTTGACTGATTCGATCCACAAATACTCATTCTTATACAGGTAAAAACAATTATTAACATATCGTTTTATAATATTAAATCAAACAGACCTAGATAAATCAAACCGCACGAGTTCGTTATCTATTTATATCTTTATTTGTGTTTAAATCAGGTTATATGACCATCGGCATTATTCGGAATTCACATCGATGGTTAATAAGATGTCGTCTAGACTAAATTACACACGAAATGTTGATACACGTTATCGAATTCATGCATCGTAAATTGTTTATTTTAGACTTTTTATTATTTGGATATACGTTTTAGTATGTTATAAGTCGAATATGAGAATTTGAGTAAAATCGGTGAACTTGAATTTGACAGCTAATGCCCTTCTAAACTAAACATTGGTTTATAGTGTTTATTTAATTGTCAAAAGTGTTTCACCTATCGGAAAATCTTGTATTATTGCATGTTAAACACATTTTTATGAAAAATTCTGTTGAAGATATTTCTTGTCCAAATGGAAAGAAACTTTGTTCATTAAATACTGAAATGTCTGCAGTTTCTTGCAATGATTATGAAAACCATTTATGGTTTATGATTTTAGGGAATTTATTATATAAAGACCGATGGCTTAAAAGGAAAAAATAAAACTTAATTTCAATACTTGAATACAAATAATGATTTCTCGGTAATTTATTTCATTATAAGCTAAAAAAAAAAAAACTGTACACATTTATGAGCTAAACATTAAAAAAATTTCATCAAAGCCGGACCTCAAATTATTTTTTGACAATGTTTTAAAAGAAATTATTTATATGAAATTATAGGGGAATTTCCTGAAGGTGAAACACTTTTGACCTAAGACTGTATATTTAGTCATTGCAGTTTTGCACCAAAAGCAAAACTGTTATAGGGTTTAACGTGTAAAATTTAAGTATGGTAATGTATTCTTATTTGTAATGTATTGTGAAAAAAATATGTATTTGTCTGTGATATGTACAAAAATGAATATATATGGTATTTTTTCATAATATTTAAAAGGCCCAAATAGCAGTGAAAATATTTCTTCTAATTTTTCATAATTTGGTTGTACTGATTATGAAGTTTAAATCTTTATTTCATTTCTAAATGTTCTCATTTTGTATGAAGATTTATTTTTGAATATATTTTTTTCATTTTAACATTTAAATAATTACTATTGATTAAGTGATATAGCTATGGAACAGAATGTCATGTAAGTGCAAAAATATTGAATTTTGATTAATTAATGACCTTACATATTTATTAAGGTGCTTTTTGGATAACATTTTACATCACTCATGTATGAATTTTGTTAAATGAACCTGCCACCCATGACATGGTTATGATTAATTGACTAAACTAGTAAACAGGGAGAACGAAAATGTACCTTTTGGTTGGTGAAAACTCAAGAAAGTCTATAGTGCCAGAGGCGGATTTAGGGTGGGGGAGCAGGGTGCCCCCCCTCTTAGTGGGAAAAATTTGGTTGATTATTCAGTGAATCACTGAAGCATGACTAAGCGGGCCCCCTCTTATGGCAGTCAGTGGGCCCCCTTATGAAAATTTCTGGATCCGCCACTGAGTGTATTGTGAAAATTTTAGTTTTTATCGGCCACGTTTGATTGATAATTTCAAGAATTAACATCTATATATTTAGATTTGTCTCTCTGTTTTATCTCGGTTAAGTTTTTAAATTATATTTAAATGTCTTGTTTATAGTGTAATGAAAAAAAGATATCACTTATGTGTGTTTGTACATAAACATGAAATATATCGTTACTTTTTATTTTTTTAATAAAATATTTGTAATTTTTTGTATGTGGATTTGCACCTATAAGTCTGATTAAAGGTTTCAAATCAAACATTCATTCGCATGATTTCAGTTGATTACTGAAACATCAGCATATTTTGATTGACTTAGGAGCTTACTTTCCATTGAACTCGGTTAATCTTGTTGCATTTCAAAAACGATATTTAAGTTTATGTTTTAACTAAGTGACAACGATGTGTTCTTACTTTATGAAGAACCACATTGACTCCTACAACAAATACAGCGAATATGATAACATCAAAAGGCTGATTTTTTTATATGCGACAAATTTGTTGAGTTGATTGATATTTCAGCAGACAGTCGGTATTCCGATACTTACTAATTGTACACCACTACTGACCAACTGGTTGTTTGTGCTCATATGAACCAGAATTCATACAGAACCTTCTCAAAGACAAAAGAAAAAAAAACATCTTGCAAAGTTCTTCAATTTCTCTTCCTAATATATTGATGATGTCCTGTCACTCAATAACCCACATTGAATGCTTACATCTCATATATCCTAATAAACTTGAGTAATGATATTACCGAAAGTAGGTCTACTTCATATCTTTATTTTGTCCTCGATATTGACACAGATGGACGACTTCAAACTAAAATCTTTGTCACCAAGGAGGAGGAGGAGGCATAATATATCTGTATCAGTTCAATTCCAAATCCTCCGTCGTCTGGGGTCTATTATAAAAACCGAGATACAACGATCAAACTGCACTTCAAACTTGTTTCATTAAGTTCACGCATCGAGATTGGAAAACAACTGCCACATTCCTGACTTGGTACACATATTTACTTTGTAGAAAATGGTGGATTAAACCTGGTTTTATAGCTAACTAAGCTTCTCACTTGTATGACAGTCGCATAAAAATTCCATTATATTGACAACAATATGTGAACAAAACAAACAGACATAATAGGTAAAAACAAGGATACAGCAGTCAAAACTGTGTTATAATCTCACTCGCTATAAAAACAAACAAATATGTCAACAAAGAAAACACAATGAGTGCACACGCTGAAATGTCTCTCTTGCTTTACTGACCATTGATTTTATGTTGAAAGTCTTAAAAATAAGGTTTTACTATAAGCATTACAGAAACTCAACATTTTTAGAAATCTATGACAATGAGGTCGAGGTCAGATAAATTTTGTCAGACAGACATCTTACAATTTTTGTATTCACCAAATATAGTTGACCTATTGTGTATGCTAATTGAAAAACAGACCAAAACACAAAAACTTAACATTGACCAATGAACCATTAAAATGAGGTCAAGGTCAGATGAACCCTGCCAGACAGACATGTACACCTTACAATCTTTCCATACACCAAATATAGTTGACCTACTGCTTATAGAATTTGAGAAACGAATCTAATCACGTAACTTTAACCTTGATTCACTGATCCATGAAATGAGGTCGATGTCAGGTGAACTCTGTCTGACGGACATGTAAACGTTGCAAGGAACCCATATACCAAATATAGTTATCCTATTACTCATAATAAGTGAGGAATTCACATGACAAAAAAAATCAAATTTTTTCAAGCAGTCGCTTAACCATGAAAATGAGGTCAAGGACAATGGACATATGATTGATGGAAACTTCGTAACATAAGGTATCTGCATACAAGATATGAAGCATCCAGTTCTTCTACCTTCAGAAATATAAAGCTTTATACAAATAGTTTACGCCGCCGCCGCCGCCGCCGACGGATAGTAATACCTATGTCTCGCATACTGCGACTGTCGTCGCAGGCGAGACAAAAATGTCATATAAACAAAGCACATACGCGAAAAAGAAAGACAAGAATACACAAAATTACCATAGCACAATATCACAATGGCGGGATGTATATACCGAGCCACTTCAAAAGGATATTACCAAAAATGGACTAAACAGTAAAAGTTAATAAGACAAGTGAGAGGTTTAGCTAGCTATAAAACCAGGTTTTCTACATCAGAAAATGCCTGTACCAAGTCAGGAATATGGCATTTGTTATTCATTCGTTTGATGTGTTTGAGCTTTTGATTTTGCCATTTAATTAGTACTTTCCGTTTTGAATTTTCCTCGGGGTTCGGTATTTTTGTTATTTTACTTTTTACAGACAAATAAAAGAACACTTTAACACGTAATTAAAAAGATAAACAACGTCAGTACCTAGAATCTATACTTCACAAGAACATCATGTATCATTTGTGAAGTTGAAACGGAATATTTAACAACAAGGTCTTGATATCTTCCGATGAACCTTTTCAGAAAAAGGACGAGCCGTTCTTTGACAGAACCCTGGTTCATCAACTTTTTGCTCAGACACTGGTAACGTTTTATAAAGTCTGAGTAGCAGCTGCAAGCTCTTGAATACCGAATGAGATGGGAAATGTATATTCCAGATGAAGATGAAGTTGGTATATTGCTACTAAGGTGGGGGAAATTAATTATTTCAAAATTAAAATCGTCTCGTTTGTTATAGATTCTGGTACTGAGATGACCGCTTATGTCAAATTCGAGGTATAAGTCTAAAAATTTGGCGGAGGAAGCCTTGTTTGTTGTTTCTTTAATTTCTAGTTCTGGAGGATATATTAATGTAACCCATTCAGAAAAGTTTGGATTGTCAATGGAAAGAACATCATCAATATATCTGAATGTGAAATTAAATGATCCGGCTACTTTGATCTTCTTGTTTTGACAAGTGTCTGAAGGAACTCCGACTCTTATGAAAATAAGAAAGGGTTGGCAAAGAGAGGCGCACAGTTCGTTCCCATAGGAATGCCGACAACTTGTTGAAACTGTCTACCTCCAAATTCAACAGATATGTTGTCAATAAGAAACATCAGCATACTGATCACTTGTTCCTCTGTGTAGCATGTTTTACCTATTGTTCCCTATTAACAAAATATGCCGTATGGTATCCCAAAGTAATAAATTTATAGCATATGCTTCCATTTTTATATTGAAAAGCATTGTGGATTATTTCTTTAAGAAGATTTTTCAATTTCACATCGGGAATAGTGGTATACAGGGTTGAAAAATCAAAAGGTTTGATAGAATTAATTTCAGAGAAACATCGAGTTTTGAAATTATCCAGAAGTTCTTTAGAGTTTTTTAGAAATTGAAACCACATCTGGTTAATACCACTGCGCTAGTCAACAGTTTCACAATATTTCTGAAGAACCTCTTTCACTGCGGACAGAATTTTTGTCAATCTAATGGAAAATTCCTTTGTAGAACATGCAGAGGACATGGGGTATGATCGCCAATTAGATAACTATCTACCATAAAAGCAATTATAGGTCACCATTTAGCCTTCGACAATGAGAAAAGCGCATAGTGTATAGGTAGCTATAAAAGGCCCCGGAAGAAAATGTGAAACAATTCAAACGAGAAAACTAACGGTCTAATTTATACAATACAATTTACGAAAAACAAATATGACAGACATGAACCAACAAAAACTACTGAATTACAGGCTCGTGACTTGGGACAGATACATAGAGAATATGGCGGGTTCAACATGTTTCTGTGCGCTCAAACCTCCCCTTTACCTGGGACAGTAGTGTAACGGCACAACATAAGAGCATAGAGTAAAAAATCAGTAGCAAATGTTAACTCATTAAATCGGTACAAAGCACAAATAAACCAACAAACATAAAAACAATAGACACATAATACTGATTTAAGAATACTAGCAGTTAATGAAATCCAGTTCAAAGTCAATTACAACTAAAATATAAATCACGTTTACCCAGATTTAGAGTATGGAATTATTGTAAGGTCTGTCTGTCAGTCTGGCAGGGTTCTTCTGACCCTGACCTCATTTTCATAATTCATTGGTCAATGTTAAGTTTCCATGAGTATGTCTGTTTGTAAGATACTATAAGCAAAAAAACTACATTTGGTGTATGGAATTTTATGGTATGCATGATTTCTTGCAGGGTTCGTTCATTTGACCTTGACCTCATCTTTATGGTTCATTCGTAAATGTTCAGTTTTCGCAATTAGGTCGCTCTCTCAGTTGCCACGGTATCGTCTGCCTATTGTAGAAAGTAGTATATAAAAAAAAGCAAAATATTGACAAAACTTGTGATTTAAGGGAAATAGCTCCCTTAAAAATTCTAACCACGATTTCAGTCTCATGTGATTTATTGGTATTTGGTAACGTGGACGGATTTTAAGCAATTTTTATAACCCTCCCACCCACACCAATAGTATTATTGGCTGGTAGCTTGCTTTGCTTTCGTCTTAAGCTTTTTTAAGTCTACTGCCTTTTCAGTTTTGAGCTGAATTAGCTCATGCTTTATATAGCGGAAGCTTCAATATCATTCTTATTAGCTTATATTATTTTAATATCTATATTGCTGGTATTATTGATATATAAAACAGTAATGTTTTTATGTAATTTTATTTACTTAAGCAGTTATAATAGCTCACATGGGGTAGTAGTTTTCATATTCTACTTATAGCTTATATTATGCCTATTTTGCTTTTTAAGACTTGTTTAATATTCATTGCTCTAATGTTATATGTGTAATTTGTGTTTATTTGATACTTGTAATAAATTGTTGCACCCAGTACTCGTTTTGTATGAAGGTCATAATAAATTTACTGATTTGGGAGACAATATCCAAACAGGGATGATCTTGCTTTAACTTGATGATCGGTTTTTTTTCTGTAACACTTTAAAGGGGTTGATTAACAAGTTCGGTCATGTTGATATATTTGAAACTCTTGGTTTGCTGATAATTTTGACTGCCTACAGTAACCCTCTATCTTTAAAGTTTTCAAGAAATAGGTAAAAATGTCAGTTAAGTCCAACAACACATAAAAGTATTCCATAGACAAATTTGGTCATGCTGACTTACTTGTTGATCTTATGCTGCCATGCGCGTAGCTACGTTTACGTCAAAATGCCCGGGCGTGCACATAAGTTTGGAAGAAAAAAATATTTTAACCCAAATAAATTAAAAGAACTGATTAAAAGTACAA